GTTTGTTTTTCAAGAAAATCTATGACATGAACTGGGAGGGGTAGGTGAGTTGGTACGTATGTAATGTTTTGTATGTAACTTTTTGTATATTTTTATTTTCAACTGAAAATGCTATACTAAATCAAGTGATAGTTTCAAATTGATTGTTTTCATTTAACCATCTGAAAGCACATATGAAAATTACGTTATAAAAGGTTGTCTGTACCAAACACAGTCTAAGGCAGCCACTCATACAGGTAGTGAGACAAAATAGAGCCTAATGTACCTGCTGATTTCTTAATAATGTTAGTTACATGATGCTATACCATCACTATGCTAGTTAACAGTAAACTTTCTCTGTTGGTTGTTGGTTGTAGTATGAGTAGGTAACACAATACAACTTTAATTTCTCATCTAATCACCAATAATGCTGACTGTGGAGCCTGTAGCATAACCTAAGCAGTTACTGGAGCTAGACTAAAGCTTACTGATTTAGCCAGCAACATTACGAGCAGTCCAAACAAAAAATAAAATAAAGGGTTTGTGTTCTACAATGTTAATGTGTTAATTGCCCTCATGAACTAGAAGCTAGATACATTTTTTTTTTCCCATTGTGATGTAATATGTTAGCCTATAGCCTGTGTGCTGCATACCTGAACATCTCAAGTCAAAGTTACTCTGGCTTTCTGGGTAGTGTAGCAGCTCAAATTGAGGTAAACACGCTGCTCATTTGGTAGTTATGTCGCTTTTTCCCACACTGAATCTCTTAAAACCCTTCCGAATCCTTCTGAAACTACCAAGGTCCAGACCTTGGTGTCCTCATAGTTAGTTACTGCCATGTCTGTGTCACTTCCACTCCTGAGTAAAACAGTAGCTGATGGAAGAATATACTTCAGATCAGCAAGAGTTTGCACTTTCTACCGGTCAGACAGCCCTGGAATTTTTTCATACGTCTTAAGTTTATGCTCCTGTGTTTTTCCATGTTTGACATGTCCCACACATCTGTAGGGCGCCTGGCTACATTCCTCCTCTCATATCTTTTCCACACACACTTGATGTCAGTGCAGGAAAATTCAGTATGTTCACAAACTACTACAGGTCTCAGTAGCAAAGAGAGTTGCACCAAAGTCACTGCATGCCTCTCCTAGCGCTGCTGCACGTGTGCAGTTTGTTGCCACTACATACCCATTTCTAGCTTTAAGACAAACCCAGGGTTTCCAGGAGTTATGGGAGATTCTTTGTCCTGGGCTCACAGTGGCTGTAACAAAAACAACCGGACTCTCTTGTCCTGTCATGCGGTCCTTTCTGTTTTACATGCCCCCAAACGTAATAACTGTAAGCACCCAAGGATTTGTAAGCTTGTAACACTTCACCTGTGCAGGGTCCAAGAGTGTTGATCAAAAAATTGTGGATGTCAATGTACTACAAAGGTGGCAGTTTGGAAAAATCAGCATACCACCCCTTATTCGACGTGTATAGGTTGGGCAAGGAAATTATTTGCATTCCTTCTTGAAAGTGCATTTTTTCTGTATCTGTCCAAATCTGCTGTCTCTAGTTTCTGTGCATAATTAGAGAAGTGGGCCATATTTTGTCTCTTTCACAGTCTTCTAGCCAAAAGCATAATTTTGGGTTAATTTGGGTGCCTTACTTAGTCTCTCTCTCATTCTTGAATTTACTGCCTCATCTCACTGGTCTGTATAAAATTTCTGCCTGCCTCTTGAGTCTTGCACAGTACTTTCCTCTCTAACAGTAATTTCTATGTCTCTATTTGGCAATCTATCTGATAGCTATCTGGGATGTGCTGGTAGGCTGTCTGTGGTAAGGATAACTGTATACACCAAAAAAAAAGACAGTCCAAATGCTTGTAATAACTAGCAACATAGCTTGTCTGAACATCAAACAATACAATTAAAGCATTCTATTATTGAGTTTTCTTGATTGTGTACTTTGTTCATGAAGTCATCTTTGATCCGTAAGTGTGTCAGGGAGTGTTATTCACCCAGAAGTAAGGTTTATTATTTTTGTGATGTCAAGGAATTTTGTCATATTGCTTTCATAAAACAGCAGACCACAAAAAAATATGAAACGATACCCAATATTTCATAAATAATGAATTGTGTATTACTGATAATAATTGAGATAAATGATTATTCTGCCAAGAAAAGTAATTCTGTAGAGTATGTAATTGTTGAATATTTAGTAATCCCTAATTGTATACTGCAATTATTTCATAAACTCCACTTTTTTGTTATATAATAATGAACATATAATTATACAGCACTTTTTAATGCAAAAACATTCACTTTATGAGTTGTTTTTTAACTCACCAAATTACAACCACAATGAAAATGCTAATTTCCATTAGTGCCTCTATGCAATTTCCAGTCTTATTTAGCACCAAGCTATCATTGTGATACCTACTCCCTAGGTAAAGTATGATGTAGGAATTAACCTACTGGATACTGCGTCCATACAATGCACATCTCACATCTTAAATCTCTCAAACAAATAGCCATTTGGTATTTAGCTACATGTGTACAATTCCATGATGGACAATTAGTGCATTATTTGGGTGTGCAAGCAAGAATTTCATAATTACGTAGTACACTATATACAAACCCAGTTACAAAAAAGGTGAGACAGCATGTGAAATACAAATAAAAACAGAAAGCAGTGATTTGTAAATCCACTTTGACATGTATTTAAACAAAAGCAGTACATAAACAAGAAATTAAAAGTTTTATCAATTTCATTGTTTTTGTAAATATGCGCTCATTCTGAAATTGACGCTTGCAACATGTTCCAAAGAATTGAGACGAGGCAATTTGAGAATAGAAATGCTGTTTAATGTTTAGAAAACATTTTTAAAAAGATGACATAATCATGCAAAAAATGCATCAGCGAATGGTCTAACTGTTTATTGTTGAGAACAATGTTCCTCAATTAGCAGTTGCAAGATTTTTCACACTATACAATTGCTTATCTTCAAAAGATTTAAAAATGTCATGTCTTTGTGTTACATGTGTTTGTGTAAGCAAAGCCAAAAACCACAATGAATGCTTTCAATCCCCTGCATTAAAAACTGCCATGCTTCTGTAATTAATATCACTTCATGGGCTTGCAGATTTTTTGACTAACTGTTCTTAAAGCAGGGCTTAATAAAACACTGACATTTGAAGCACTTAAGACAGTTAAGTGACATCTTCTTTACGCTTTTTATATTTCAGTGTTACAGTGAATCATAAGTATTTTGATTCAAAGCTTGTGCTATTAATTGAAGAGTTGCTTAGCCTGTTAGCTGTCTTTTAGCCTGTTAGCTAGCTAATTGCCTTGATCTAGTTAGGAAATGTCAGCCCCTCAGTTAAAACAAAACCAGTTTCTTACTTCATCAATGCATTCGGGGGCCCAATGCAAGTAACATGACAGTCAAAGATTATTACATTTACAGGACAAGGGTTTTTCATGACTTTGTGCGTAAATACAGAATTCTCTTATTTTGAGGCAGTCATAGATGTGCGTATCTAATTATTTTACAATGTCTTTGAACACAACTCAGCCAGCCAAATTTAGGAACGGATCTCTTACAATATCTATTTCATATCTAAGAAGGCAAGAAGTCTTAGTTAAAGCTAACCATGGTGCAGGCGCTTGTTTAAGGAACAGAATTTCTGGATGGTCCATATTTTCTGTTGACTAACAAGCATTTGGAGCCAACGCAAAGTTAAAAATCATTGTCACAGATCCAGACTGAGATATAGTTATCTGTTCCTACCAGCCAAACTTTGAGGTCTTGCAGCCACATCCCTTCACCTTTATTACATAAGTGCTCAACTACATTTTATTTTTGAATGATTTATGATCCAAGTTCTACATGGCTAGAACCAGAGGCCATTTTCCTGGGCTCAATTTGCACACTGCTCATAAGTGGGAGATGGACATTGATGCTCCAGATTGGACTGAAATTTGTCAAAATTTTCCTCATTATCTGGCCTGTAACTCTGCTTGGGAGATGCAGTTCATGATATTGTATAGAATACATGTAACTCACTCATTAATTTGGCAATGGCCTTAGACCAAAAACAGAAAATATGTCATTCTGTATCACAATAGATGCCAATATGGGCACAGATTCTAGAGAGGTTAAGTAAGGTAAGTGGAGGAGATGAAAAAATTAAGAAAGCAAACCCCGTGGGTGTGGCCAGAGAGAAATGAAGGTGAGCAGGGTTGTGCTGAGAGCAGCTTGTCTGAATCCTCTTGGCTCACACCCTGTGGGTGCCAGCTCTACCCGTACTGGCAGCAGAGTAAGCTAGAGACTGTGGGCAGCCCATGCCCACCCAACAAGCCTATTGAGAGGCAGTCTGATGGATACAAATGCGTGCGACAGACTTGCTGCATCAACAGCATCCTGCGCCCAGACAGTTTTTGCTGCTGTGGACAGAAATAAACCATAAATACCCCCTAGGGCCCACTGCTTGCTCACCATATATAAACATACACACTCTCTTCCACACATCAAACTAAAGAAAAAGGGTGCTGATAAGAGCCAAGTTACAAACAGGTATCGTGTAGCCTTGGTTTACTTTTCTTACTTGGCCTCATATTGAATTCATGTTTGCTCATTTGATGTGTAACTAGGTTTCAAGTGTGAGTTGACTAATTGTACATAGGTGCCATAGGAGCTTAAAACAAATTAAATAGATCATCTGCATACAAATATTTACAAATATGTGCCTATATTTTTAACTCTGTTTAAAAAAATTCTGTAAACAATGGTTCATTGATTGTTTGCAGTTAATCCAATTTATTCAATTCTAGTACTACAAAAGCAACTCAGGTTTATCAAGTAGCTTGAACTTTTTTTTGTACAAGAAGCTTCTAAGCTGAAAGCAAAAGGTCAAATATGTAAAATAGGTAAAAAATTTGTGTTCACACACATTTTTTTTTTAATTCTGTAGAATTTTAGGCTTAAGTTGCTCCTTGATTTTTTCAGTGTGTTCATTGGTTCAGTTAGCACTGGAAGAATGTCAGATCAAGGTGCCCCAGAGCAGCTGGCTGCAGGAAAGAGCCAGGGAGGAGTTGGGGTGTCCTACAAGGTACCAATAACACAAACTTGATCTTTTACTCCAAAATAATATAGACAGACACTCTGATAAAATGTATTGCTTGAATGTCTTTTTGTCAGTGTCTTTGAGGAATAAGAATTCTGTAAATTAAAAAAATGCAAAATTTAAATGTGGTCTCATGTGCAGATTGTTTTGTATGAGTACGAGAACTTCCAGGGAAAGAAAGCAGAGCTGTCGGCAGAGTGTAAAGATGTTAATGAGAAGAATCTGGAAAAAGTTGGCTCAGTCGTGGTGGATTCTGGACCGTGAGCACTGACAATTTTTTCTTAAAATTCTTCATTCTTGTAAGTGATTTGTCACATATATGTCTACCAACCCCAGTGTAACTCAACTTGTATTTAACTGTTTGGTTGTACAGATGGGTGGCATTTGACCAGCGTGGCTTTGCAGGGGAGCAGTTTGTTTTGGAGAAAGGAGAATATCCTCGTTGGACCACCTGGACCAATAGCCAGAACAGCTACTGTCTATTATCTCTCAGGCCGCTAAGAGTGGTTGGTCATCACAGACACACATAATGCATGTGGCTTAAATACAACATGTAAATAGTCATTTAAAGAGCTGTGCATTTCTACCATCTAGGATGGTGCAGATCACAAATTACATCTGTTTGAGAATGGAGGCTTTACTGGGAGAAAGATGGAAATTATTGATGATGATGTTCCCAGTCTGTGGGCTCATGGTTTTCAGGATCGTGTGGCCAGTGTGAAAGCACTGAATGGAACGTAAGTATAACCATCCCTTTTCCTTGTTTACTTATCTTATTCCCTATATTTTGTGATAATAAAATTGCCTGAATTCTCATGGAGTGATGATCATTGGTTTGCAACCTGGATTGAACCAAATATATTCACTTGCAGTTAATTTGCTAGTTTTAAAGTTAAAATTATGTAAATGCATTTGAGTATTTGAGTATTGTGTGAATGTACTTGAATTCATTTAAATTAAATTAATGAAAAATAATAAAAATAAATTTGACATTTGAGCATAGATATAATGATACATTATTGCAATATCTAGCTCATGCATGACAATGTTACATTTAAGTGTCAAAGGGGAGTGTGACATGCCAATGCAGCATTTTTCCTTTTTATTTGTGTTTGCTCAGTTTACACCAGTCTGTTGTGTTTACCTCTTTACCTAAGATGTTTTATTTGTCTTGTGAATCTCTTATGTTGTACATTTCAGTTGGCATAATATTCCGGTACAAGATCCTTTTGCATTTATGTTGCACTGTTCTGCAAGCCACTGTATAGGAACTGTATATATAGAAATATAACCTTTTCTCCTTTATATCACTGTACAGGTGGGTGGGCTACATGTACCCCGGTTACCGGGGACAGCAGTATGTGTTTGAACATGGTGACTACAAGCATTGGAATGACTGGGGAGCTACGATGCCACAGGTGCAGTCTGTGCGACGTGTACGAGACATGCAGTGGCACAAACGAGGATGCTTCACTGCTCTTGAGCCTACTCCTAATCCCAATCCTAACCCTAACCCAACACCTCCTCCCCCAGCCCCACCAGCTGCAGCTGCAAGCAGCTGAAGGAGATCAGCCAGCTCTTTCCATGGTAACTGCCCTTGCTCATTTGGCTGCTAAGAAAACACAAAAAAATAAAAATCTGCGATTTTCCTTGTCCATCTGTTACTTAAAATAAAGGCCTTGACCCTGAATTGGAATCTTTGTGCCCGTGCCACTTTACTTTTGATGTATCTAATCGCCATTCATTGCATTAGGGACAAGACATAAATTTTATCATTAAACTGTACCTGAAAGGAGCATTTTTATTGAAGCATAATGAAATCTTTTCAATTACAACCCCGGACATATTTTGGAAGCAGTTATTGACCCAATCTCAACATCTAAAAATATTAAATAAAGGAAATGTATTTAGGACAATCAATCAATCAATCAATCAATCTATCAATCAATAAATAAACAAATAAATCCGAAAGACACCATCTTTCCATATGAGTACTGGAGCGGAATACATAGAGTAACAGAGAATATTAGGAATACAAATTATGATTAAAAAGATATTTGCTCTTGCTAGCATATGATTTGCGTATTGGGTCTTTGTGACATCACAACACATAGTGACATCAGCTATGTCCCAGTCTGGGCTCGATTAGTTCTCTGTCATGTACTTGTCTGCAAATTCTTCTTCAGTCATCATGCCACACCCCAGCCTGCAGACCTCCCTGGTCAGCCAGGTCTTGAATTGACATGTACTGTCTCCTGCAAATACCGGTACATATACATTATATACATTAGTTGGAACACAGACTGTCATAAGCTTAAAACTTTTCAGCATATAACACTGGAAGCTCAGAAATACAGATTAAAGAATACACAACACTACAGATAAAAAAAAAGGGAACATAAAACTACAAAGGGAAAGTTCTGAACAAACTTTGAGTTGGCTTGAAAGAGCCAGCTAATTACGTTAACTAAATGGTGGAAGACTATTAATGGTTGCTAAAGTGTTGCTTAGATGTTGCTAGGCAGTTGCTATCGTATCTAAGGTGGTTGGTTACTTTTTCTTGAAATGAAAAACAACTCATGAAAAAAACAATAACACTCAAATTCAGAAATTAAACAATTACAAGACATCAAGGAGTCTCAAAAAGGTTTCTAAGTTTATTAAGGATTAAGGCTTTTACAAAGAGCACAGCATTAACCCTGAGTTATTCTTGAGAATTAACTAAACCACTGGCTTACCTAAAGGCCCCTTATTTTCAATATGTCCTCTTATCTTTCACCTGACAAAACTGTTAATTAAGGGTCAGTTTTCTCACCCACAAACAGATAAATGTAATGTTTGAATTAAATGTGAATAATATACAAAGTACTGCACACGCTAATAAAAACACCCACAATCAGTGACAACTAGTAGTGAAAGATGTAATTGTAATCTAGGTTTTAAATGGCCAGAAATTAAACCCAGAAAAAGAATGATTTAGTTGAGAAACAATATCACACAGAAATAACCCTTCAAAATAATAATAAAAAAAATGATGGGTTAAGTAAATAAATTGAGCATTGATTGACAGCCAATAGTTTTTTGACAAGTCATGGTCTAAATGAAAGATGGCCAATCAGCTGTTACAGCCTATAGTAGAAGTGGCCATGGGTGAATGCTAACTGCCATTTTGTACTACTAAAAAGTAATCTAGCCATGTGGTGTTACAACGGTACAAATGTGTATATATTGGAAAAGAAATGTGCAATTTACTTTGTAAGCTGATTTTGAACAATATGTGTAGACGTATTAAGATGCTGTTTTTGTGAACAGGTCAGCTCCCCTGCATTCGACTGCACGTGTCATGTGCACCCGTTTGGACACTAGACGGCGAGCCAAGCGCACGTCTGGAGGACACCTTGCCAGACTTTCGACTTCGAGCACTATAGACGGACTTTTCTCTTTGGTGACTACACTCAACTGTGTGGTAGGACTAAAACTTGTAATTCCCAAGTGAATTGAACTTGGAACAAAAACCAAAAGGGAGAGACAGATTTTATTTAATTTTTGAACCACTTATATTTCTAATATTTCTATGGACAACTGAAAAGCGTTGAATTTTATAGTGGTTATTGTCTATTCGATTGATATTTGTTTGTATTGTTGTTTAATTTTTGAAATAGTTTTGTTCTAAAAGAACAAGCGCTCATTATTTATGGTTTGAGCACTGAGTGGCCCTAAATAAGTGGAACTAAAACCCTAAATTAGCACCTTATAAAATAGAATTGAAAGCTGAACTAACACCTAAACCATAAACAAAGACTTACCTTAGCTGACTTCAATCCTAAATACTGATAGTAGAGAATAAAAGAAGAAGCTAATTACTGAAACTTTACAGAGCACCAATTAGTGACAAACTGGCAAAATGGGTAAACTACTGATTTTCCATGGACTACGTCATTAAAATTACATATATTATATTGATTAACACAAGGTGAATATCTAAAAGGACGCCTGTTGATTCTTTGAATTAGAGGGTAATTGAAACTTTTGTGGTTTATTCGAAACCCCTGACAGCTAGTTCAGTACTAGAGCTGATTTATGTATTCCATAATAACAATAACTGAATGAATATAATTGTCACAGCAGTTAGTTGTATATGGTGATAGAGTAAAAAATATTGTAGCATAAATGATAAATCAAACCGTCATATCACGTCATTTCCCAGAGACGGGCAAAAACCTCTTAGATTGAATTAGGAAAACTTCCCGCCTTACTCGCAAAAGCGATGTCACGACTCCTTGTTGTAATGTTTCTATTATATGCCTTGTGCTGACATTTTGTGTTAAGTTCTTTCTTGTATTGCACTGTGTGCAGGTACGTAACTGGCCACAGGGGGGCACCTGCTGTATAAAAAAACATCACCAAGCCCCCACATGCGAGACTTTCAGGCATAGATATATCTACCTAGATGCCGCGTTGGGTCCAGCCAGGCACGTCAGCGTGGCGGTCAGTATCGCTGCTGGACAGGTTGCAAGCTAGTCAGTTAGCTAGCTAGCTATATTGACTATTTAGTCTTTCAAATTTAGTCATTCAAGTCTAGTTTTTCTAATTGTTAAGCATTTTTATGTAGCTTTTTTCGTGTTGAGAGCAATGGGTCCAACGTTTGCTTACTACGGATGTAAAAGCAATATTGGATGGCACGCATTTCTCACTGGTTCAGCACTGGTGAGTCTGTGGTTTCGCATGATCGGTCTGCATCCCAGTAACAAGACCATCAGCATGCATGTTTGCAATGCACAATTGGATGAGGAGAGCTTCGCCAGCTTTGTGGAGGTGAAACTGTGTTATCTGCCTGAACGACATTTTCGCCTGAAGCCTGAAGGTTCATTTGCAGAGCACCTAACATTTTTGGCTAAGGTAGGTTAATGTTATGTTTTACTATAGAGCATTTTACGTAAGTTAATCACATTGTCAAATGTCTGTGTTTAAAACCAAAGGAAGCAGTCTAATAATAATAATAATAATAATAATAATAATAATAATAATATAATGCCATATGTGGATGATGCCATTTAATAGTTTTTTTTTCTCTCTAAAAAAAAGAGCTGGCGCAATTTTTCACTGCTTTTTCAGATGTCAGTGAGGATAAGTTAGCCCGCTAGCTAGCTAAAAATATAGCTGGTTAAGTTAGCTAACGTAGCAAATAACAAAGTTACTATAGCAGTAATTTTACAGTAAGTGCCAAGAGCCAAGTCATATTTTAGTGATGGGCATTTCAAGTAATTTGGTGGTCGAGTACTGAAACAGAACCGAAAAATAGAACTGAAAATGAACTATCGTAAGCTTATGTTAGATATAACTTGCATTTGCACCACACCATGCCGGCCATCACAAGAACGAGCCTTTCGGTGCAATATACAGTTGCTGGACTGGAAAACATTTATGAGGTTCACGGCACCCGCAGTCATCCAAGAGTTTTGCGTGCAATTGTGTACCACTGTGGTTTCAGCTTTAGTCCTGAAGCCCTCACTGCTCTGTATAGGTGTTATATGTTTAACTAGCTAGCTGGCTACCTTGTCTAACACTGCAAAACACAGGAAAAATTGAGTGAACTCAAAACGTTTGTATGATGAAAATAAACTATTTGATGGCATTATCTACAAATGTCCGTTCCTTATTGCATTTCGTGGCCAAACTTGCAAGTCAGTCTGGCGATAGGAAACTTAGTAAGAAGTAATAGTGTAATAACTGGCCTGCATGATGTCTCTGTCCAGGCACCTGTGAAACCATCCAGAAAGCCTAAAGGTAGGTGCAGAGATTTAGAGCTCACTTGTGGCTTCCATTTAGATTCAGTTGGCACTTGTTTTAATGTGCAGGCTATGTTGACAACTTCATTGATCTGCTGTTTGACCATGTGGCAAATGGAACTCATTCCTATCAGGAGCTCTTAGGCCAGGTGCTTGTTTGTAAAGACCTCTGTGCTCATTGTTTGACCCAACAAAGTGAAGCAGCAGCAAATCTTCAGTACACTTCAGGAACATAAAATGAAGCACAAACAAGGTAAGATATAGATTTAATGTATATGTAATATCTAATGATTCTTTCTTGCCAGTGTGTGGCAGTAGGCTGTTCACTGAGATGAGAAGTGTCTGTTTGTCATCCTATTCTTTCCTCAAATTGTACAGTAAGTGCCTCCTTCTGTTTTCCCAACCAGAGCCTCCACCTGTCCTCAGGCCTGTCTGCACCAGCAAGAGCCTCCACCTGTCCTCAGGCCTGTCTGCACCAGCAAGAGCCTCCACCTGTCCTCAAGCCTGTCTGCACCAGCAAGAGCTTCCACCTGTCCTCAAGCCTGTCTGCATGAGCAAGAGCCTCCACCTGTCCTAAAGGCAGCCTGCACCAGCAAGGGCCTACTCCTGCCCTCAACCTGCCTGCATCAGGGAGCAACAAATTAAGTATAAAGCAAGGTAAGATATGAAAGTAGTCTGGTAAGATTTTACTACTTTACTTTTAAAGCGTAATGTTCATGAACACACTGCAGAACTAAAATCATCCTTTACCCCTCAACAGTTCTTATTTTTGC